GTGGGGGAAGTGGGGAGACTGAGGGAAACGGCTATGGGGTGCTGGGGGGAAGGGCAGAGCATCCCTGACCCCCCACCCCCTCTAAATGTCCTGTAGGACCATGACTGTGCCACCCCAGTGTCCTGCACCCCCAGGCCCCCTCGGACTACCGCCCTGGGGCCCAGAACCTCAGATACCCCTGGGAACGCCACCTTGAAGCCTGGTGCCCCCGAGCCCCCCAGCAATCCCAGCCTGGTGGCCGGTATCCTGGAACCCCCCAGCAGCACCAGCCTGGAGCCCCCTGGCAGTTCCACTCCAGGGCCCACCACCCCAGATCTCCCCAGCAACACTGTGCCAGCTGCCCCGTGCAGCCCCGTCCCAGGACCCAGCACCCCTGAGCCCCCCGGCAGCCCTGTGCCAACCCCAACGTGCAGCTCCATCCCACTGCCCAGCACCCCGGAGCCCCCCAGCAGCACCGTGCCAGCTGCCCCGTGCAGCCCCATCCCAGGACCCAGCACCCCTGAGCCCCCCGGCAGCACCGTGGCAGTCCCCATGTGTAGCTCCATCCTGGGGCCGTGCACCCCAGATCCCCCCGGCAGCACCGTGCCAGCCCCCACGTGCAGCCCCATCCCACTGCCCAGCACCCCGGAGCCCCCCAGCAGCACTGTGCCAGCTGCCCCGTGCAGCCCCGTCCCAGGACCCAGCACCCCTGAGCCCCCCGGCAGCCCCGTGCCAGCCCCCATGTGTAGCTCCATCCTGGGGCCGTGCACCCCAGATCCCCCCGGCAGCACCGTGCCCGCCCCCACGCGCAGGCAGCCCCGTGGCAGTCGCCATGCGTAGCTCCATCCTGGGGCCGTGCACCCCTGAGCCCCCCGGCAGCCCCGTGGCAGCCCCCACGTGCAGTTCCATCCTGGGGACGTGCAACCCTGAGCCCCCCGATAGCGCCGTGCCGGCTCTCCTGTGCAGCCCCATCCCAGGGTCCAGCACCCCGGACCTCCCTGGCAGCATCACCCCAGCACCCTGCACCCCTGGGCCCCCCGGCATCATCAGCTCGGTGCCTTGTACCCCAATCTCCTTGGGCAGCACCACCCTAGCACCGTGCACCCCCGGGCCCCCTGACAGTGCCAGCACAGCCTCCTGCACCCCAGGG